GCATGCGAGTGAGGAAAAATAATTTTGCAATCAACACAAATGTACTGCCATTCATACCATCGTGAACTGATAAAATGTTCCTTAATGCTCACGTTTGCTACTGCGATTGCGTTAAATGCCCGCAGTGAAATACAGTACATGCCTTCAAATGTGTTTTCTTCCCGAGTCGGAGCAGCTGAATAGACAACATGTACAGGTGCATCAGATGAGTATATTCTTACTAAATCACATGTGACTGGAAATTTACCCTTGCTCTAGCCATTCTCATTACTTCGCGGATTCATGGAAAGCCTTCTTGTAATTTGGTCGCCAATGTAGGAGTACTCAATTTTTGCAGAATACCTAGCACTTTTGTCCCCCTCGCAGCTTAGTTCACTTGCAAGCATTACGATTAATGTTTCTTTACCAACACACACTCCACTTGGTAAATTATTGGGCAATTTGGCTGGTATGGATTTGTGGTGTTGTGTTTACTTCTCTGTCTGCCTGGTAATCTCTACATCCACCTATCGACTTGTTTTTCTGTCTGTCTATCTCCCTCTTTTTCACTTCAGCTGCATAAGATGTAACACATAAATATTAGAAATGATCCTCCTTTGGTAGGGGATTATATCGAAATTACTGTTTTTTTTTCAGCACCATTTGACTTTCAACGATGCTGAGACTGACACCTTTTTCCTTTTGTCCCGTAACGAGTAATCTTAAAGAGCATTGCTTTATTTTGATCACATAACTACCGCCAATGACGTATAAGTGTGCAGTTGTTTTTCATAATAGAAAGGAAATGCTCTCTTTTGTTCCACGCACATCGGAGGGGCTATGTGTGTCTTCCAGTGGAACAGTCGAATAAACCACCTTGCAACCTAATTCTACGCAAATTCCTACGAAAGTTTGTGCACTCTCACTGGATAAGTTGGCGTTTTCTTAAGCAGTACTAGATAGCTATCCTGAAGTCCGAAGTTTTTCCACCTCTACGACTTTGCATGGCTGGGTGCCTTCTTTCATTATAAAGTTCACTTCTGTAGATTGGCTTAATATTTATTTTTGGTGCATACTATACCACAGGTATTTTTAAACTAATGCATTCCGTACAAATGGATGGTAGTGGGATGACCACTAATCGAGTTTGCTCCTATGGTGACCATTCCATGAAAGGCCATATAAATATCCAAATATATACACTGCTTCCTTTGCGATAGAAGAAAAATGCGTAGAGATATTTTACACACTAAAATACAATTGAGTGAGAAGGTTTCTTCTTAGAAGGGAATAAAATTTTTGATTTTGCTCCTACTTCCCTCAACTATGTGACACGATCGACAGTGATTTAAACTTATTTAAATAAACAAATAAAAGATTGCCATAAAACTTCTTAAAACGTGCCAATTAGGAAGAGAACTGTGAAAAAAATGGCCTTTTTGAATATAGCATCCCTAAAAGAGGC